ACTTGGTTCCGTTGGTCGAGACAGATCAGATGCCATTTGTTCTGTTTGCCGCACTTGGTTCCGTTGGTCGAGACAGATCAGATGCCATTTGTTCTGTTTGCCGCACTTGGTTCCGTTGGTCGAGACAGATCAGATGCCATTTGTTCTGTTTCCCGCACTTGGTTCCGTTGGTCGAGACAGATCAGATGCCATTTGTTCTGTTTCCCGCACTTGGTTCCGTTGGTCGAGACAGATCAGATGCCATTTGTTCTGTTTCCCGCACTTGGTTCCCGAAAAGGGGGGAAATGAGGGTGTGGGGGAGGGGGGGGGGGTAAGGGGTTGATAATATATCCATTGCTACCATAGCAAGCATGTCGCAAAAGGCCACTAATTAGGGAGGTTTCGAAGTCGGACTGCATCTGCCTGAAACGCGAGGAAATAACAGTCTGCTTATAAATAAACCAGATCTGTAAATCATATATGCACGCAAAGACTCAAGTTCTGGAACAAGTCTAAAAGTGGACGAACAACCAAATAATTCCGCCGGAGTTTAAAGCTAGTGAACGAAAGATGGTCTCTTTCTTTCTGCACTCACCGCTTCTCGTCTCTCGCTTAGTTAATTTTGTATCTCGCCTTTCACCCGTCGGGGAGTAGTAGTGTCGTTGGCGGCTAGACGCCCGCCTATGGATCGGAAGGTCGTGGGTTCGCTTTCAGACGGAGCCGGACTTTTTTTTTTCTTTTTTTTTTTCCTTCAAAACTGACCTTGACTCCCAGGTCGACCCAGCCTTGAATGGATACCAGGTGCAGTCCTGGGAAGTTAAGGCAGCCGGCGTGATGCCGACTACATCACCCACCAAGTGTTGATTGGTCTGTAAAAATATAGGTTCTAGCCCTATATTTCTGCTCACTCTTTCTCTGACGGAAGCCGCCGTGGTGTAGCGCCTACATGCTCGCCTGCAGATCCGAAGATTTAGGTTCCGATTCTGACACGGCCGGACTTGTGTCAAAAATATCCCTGGCTCTGAGGTCGACCTCGCCTAAAGCGGGTACCCGGTAAGGTCCTGGGAAGTAAAAGAAGCTGGTGTGATACTGACCACATCACCCACTGAGTGCCGATTGTTCTATATAAAATAGGGTTGACCCTATATGCCCAATACGCATGAATTCAGGCGTTGAAAATGGTGCTTTGCTTTCAATTATTTTCTCTCGCACGGTCTCCTGTTGCGGCTTTTGATGATTGTGTTGTTCACGGACAGCTCTAGATATAAGGTTATACATCTAAAATGGGAAATCCCGTTTTTGTGAGGCTGGTGTGGTCGGTCGGTGGTATCATTTGTTATCCAGTAGATTTATACACATATTGAACTATAGTTGAATTAATTTGCTACATGTTTTATTGAACGAATTAAGTTGAAGATAAAAAAAATGTGCTATAAAAAATTATTTAACTTCAAAATAATGATTTTTGTTTGTACCATTTCACTGCTGCTTCTGGCCAGCCTGTCCAATATTTTATTGCCTTTCACACCACAGTGACATTCCTTAATTTCTGCACTTGGAAGCAGTCTATCAACATATCTTTCCACGTCTGACGATTTTTTTCTTGTTGCTTTATCTGTCATGTTGTTTATTACGCTCGAGTAGCTCTTGTCTTGTAAGATCAGTTCTATGACCCTCCTCGCCGGCCACGTCAGAGGAGGGAAGAAAATTGACTTTTCAAGCAAATATAAAAAAAAGGGGACGAATTTAAAAAAAAAATAAAGAAGCCGAAGATTGGCGTGAACGAATATAAACTCGCCTGTACGCAGAGAAAAAAAAAAAACACACACACACACACTGTAATATATGTGGCGCATAAATACCTACAAAGCCAGCGGGGTGTCCTCAAACCCGGTATGGGGAGTATGTGTCAGTCCCCGGAACTGCCGAATGGTACCGCTACATCCAGCATGCATTTCGTTGCGTCCAGTTTCTAGCAGAGACCACTTTTTAGTTTGACACCGGATTACACACGTACTTGTTTGTTTTATTGAGTCTGTGTTAACGTGTTTTTCTGTGTACACCTTTGTTATAATCAGTGCCGGATTTAGGTAGACGCCTAATAAGCTAAGTTTAAGGCCTCAAAATCTGTACGGGCCTCCCCAATTCCTAAATTGTTTAACACATTTAATTATCATTTAATGTATTTTAAATGCAATTTAGTTTTAATAGTCCTTTGGAGGATTATATTATATAATTTCTGTAAATTTGCAAACATATTCTTTGTAATTTCTCTAAAAAAATATAAACTTAAATGACATCGTTTACCCATTATCCATAATCTTAACGTTTTTCTGAGAGTAGCTAATGTAATTTGAAAGAGGGGGCCTCAGAGCTTTATAGATCTTATTCCCTCATCAAGTCTAAATCTTGGCCCTGGCTACAATGTTATACAGGTCTATGTTTGTTCTGGCGGAACGCAACGGTAAGCAGTACTAGCACCATTTTCAAGGTATCATTTTTCAGCGCTATTGTAATACAAACTTTGTACTAAGTAACAGCACCTTCTTTGATACACTTTGTGGTGAGTACCGGCAGCCTGCGGTTAAATATAACATGAATTTTTTGTCCAGTTTTGTCTTATAATAAAAAGACAGGTAAAATCGGACATATGATGCTATACCCACACGCACGTACAGACCATAAGGTCCACCCTCGATAGGTTACATGGTCAGCACCAAGCTGGTCGCCTTTACCTCCAAGCATTTTTCCGATAGCCACATTCGGCTGGGCCAGCCTTAGGAGACAAGGTCATGTTTCTTCCAAATCCACCCCTTAAAGATGGCCGTTAGGTCGGCACCTGAAAGTCTAGCCACTAATGCTCCTTACTTTTGGATTTAAAAAAAATTCACGGTCAACTTTACTATTGTGAAGCTTCAAATAGTCAAAATGTGCTTGTCAACAGTGTTAATGCCAGATGTGTTAAAATCATTTTTTTTTAAATAGTCAAACCTGTTATAGTCCAACTGGGTACAGTCAAATGTGCTATAGTCATACGTGTTATAGTGAAATTTATTTTTGTCAACCTTGTTCAAGTCAAACCTGTTATACTCAACCTTGTTTTTGTCAACCTTGTTGGAGGCAAACCTGTTAAACTCAACCTTGTTTTTGTCAACCTTGTTGGAGGCAAACCTGTTATACTCAACCTTGTTTTTGTCAACCTTGTTGGAGGCAAACCTGTTATACTCAACCTTGTTTTTGTCAACCTTGTTGGAGGCAAACCTGTTATACTCAACCTTGTTTTTGTCAACCTTGTTGGAGGCAAACCTGTTATACTCAACCTTGTTTTTGTCAACCTTGTTGCAGTCAAACCTGTTATAGTCAACCTTGTTTTTGTAAACCTTGTTGAAGTCAAACCTGTTATAGTCAACCTTGTTGCAGTCAAACCTGTTATAGTCAACCTTGTTTTTGTCAACCTTGTTGAAGTCAAACCTGTTATAGTCAACCTTCTTTTTGTCAACCTTACTATAGGCTGCCTTTTTGTTGTCAATTTTGTTATTGTCATGTTTGTTAAGGTTAAGTGTTTTAGTATTGAAATAATAGAGAAAAACATCAAAAGAGCAATAAATGAAATGACAAACCACACACACACGCGCGCGCGCGCGCACACACACACACACACACACACACATTGACACACACAAACACATGCACACACAGAGATAGAAGAGAGAGAGAGAGAGAGCGGGTCCTTCACAAAACATGTCTCTCGTCCCGGCACGCCTGAAAGTCTCTTTGTCTCTAGCCAATTTTCCAGCCCTATGTGCTTTCTTAGCCGATGCAGCTTCAGTGTCTTATATCCACCTTGGCGGAAAACTGCCCGTGCCTCGTGTTCCGGAAACAGTACTCGTCATCACCGTTCTCTTTGAGCCATCATGACTAAAATATAGCGCAGCTTTTGTGAGAGGACACTGTTTATGAGCCAGTTCTCCTCGATGTTCAAATCTCTACTAGTCGTCTTCACGTGGGATGCAATTTATTTGTTATTTGAAGCCCCACCCTGGCTTTTGCCGGGCGTCCTGGATATAGCCAGGCCATAAATATGGCTTAACGGCTAAAAGGGGTTTCTGGGACCTCTCCACGGGTGATCCTCATCAGCATGGTGGCACTTTGTGTCACCGGGTGTCTATCGCTTTGTGTGATGTCCTGATGGGGTCCAACTTAGAAAAGAATTAGATGTTCAGATTAAGGAGGATGCCAGTGTTTTTCGTTTTCTTGGTCCTTGGGGTTCTAAGAATTTTTCTGTAGCATTTCAATTCAAAAGTTCCGATTGTTTTCTGCAGTGATTGATTAAGAGACCGTTACACACATGAGTTGCCACGAGAAAGATGCACGACCTAAACAGTTTTACTGTGACCCGCTTGCAGGTGCTGTGTCTAAGGTTCTTTGTGTTGTTGAGTCTGTGCCTTGCTGAAGCATGTCCTTTTCTGACTCGTACACTAGCTCTTTCGATGCCAGAAGGTTTCACAGGAGATGTCAAAGGGAAGAAATTATCACGATGAACAATCGTCAATGAATTACTTCAAAGTGACAATATAAACAATGGTAACTACCACTGGGCAAGCCAGATTTCTTTAGCATCTGCTAACTAAATGTTGCGAGTAAGGGAACACAATATGCTTTGGATGTAGGTAGGTAAGTTGTACCCGACCAGGACATCACACGAGCGATAAACACCCGGTGACACAAAGTGCCGACAAGCGGATGAACATCACCCCTGGAGATGACCCGGAAACCCCGTTCAGCCGTTAGGCCATATTTATGGCCCGACTATATTTGAGGGCCCCCAGCAAAAGCCAGGTTGGGGCTTCAAAATAACTTCACATTGCATCCCACATGGGGAGGACAAGAAGGCCTGCTGTGGAGGGAAATCAAGGGATAGAGTCACTCACACATCCGCCGTTACCTGAGATCAAAATAGTTAAAAACTCAGAATTAACTCATAATGTGTTTGTCCCTGTTCACTTTCCAGACCCGAGGATATGCCGAGGGCTCGATTAGCGAGTTTTGATGACTGCACCATCACTGTGGCTTCACCGTTTGCTGAAAAAGGCGCAAGCTCTGATGTCAATGGTGTGATGTCGTCATCAAGCCCACTCCCGGGAAGCTATTCCGACGACGAAAAGTTGATAGAATCCAGAACAGACCAATACTTTGGCGACTACAACACTGAACACACATACGAGCCTCCGAGCACCTCTGACTTCCCCACCTCTGCCTTCCGTGATACAAGTATTGAAGAGGAGACCTGGTTGGCACCGTTCCATGACTACGATTTACACCATGACCCTGTGAACGCGCACTACCAACACGACCTCATAGCCCCCGCGGGTGAAGATCTAAGACATGACGCAGACAGGCAGCACCTGTCTCCGCGCGACAGGTTGTTCGACGCAGCCATCAAAGTGCAGGCTGTAGTCAAATTAACTAGAGTGCAGAGGTTGAAGAAACGTGCTCGCTGGTTGACCAAGGTAAGAGATAGGTTATTTAGACACTATATAAAGCAACGATATCTTCAGCCAAGTTAATAAGAGTTCAGACCCTACAAGGTCAGATTCAACTAGGCTGTGTCATAGGTTCTTTGTGTTGTTGAGTCTCTACATTGCTGAAGCACCAAGTCGACGAAGTTTTATTATTATTATTATTATTATTATTATTCACAATGAAGAAGAAGAAGAAGAAGTAGAAGAAGAAAAAAAAAGAAAAAGAAGAAGAAGAAGAAAAGGAAGAAGAAGATATTATTATTATTATTGTTATTATTATTATTATTATTATTATTAATATTATTAAAATTATTATTATTATTATTATTATTATTAATATTTTTATTCTCAGTGACAAATAAATACAATATTACGCAAAAAAAAAAAAAAGACATAAAATATATAAAGAAATAGATTTAAAGTGAAAGTAGAGGACCTTTTTTCCCCGCCTTTCAGGCATATTGAGTATATAGGGCTAGACCTATATTTTATCAACCAAAAGGTACCTTGTGGGTGATGTGGTCAGCATCCAGCCGGCCGCCTTTACTTTCCAAGACTGTGAAAGTCCAACCCCATCAGGGGGAACCGAACCTACGACCTTCCGTTCCGCCGGAGAGCGTCTAGCCGCTAGCCCATGGCGGCTTTCAAATTCATTTAAAGATAAATTATTTATTTACATGATTACAGTGACCTTTTTAGTCCCCTTACAAAATGATTGAGAGGGTGGGGGCCGGGGGTGGGTGGGGGTAGGGGGTGGGTGGGGGCCGGGGGGGGTGGGCTTAGGTCCAATAAATATCAAATTCGGGGCAGCCTGAAGGGGATCCTAGGTTCTGGCGTCTATGGCATAGAGGATGTCTTTAGGGACTTTTCCAACGCTCCACTGCGTATGTTATTAACGTACATGCGCCCACGGTGCTCGAGTAAGAACGTAATTACTGCACACAAGGGTAATTGTCCGTCCCAGTCCACCCCCCCCCCCACTCCCTGGCTGTTAAATAAAAGGTTAACGAGCCGATACAATACAAGAATTCCACCCTGGATGACAAAACTAGTGGTCAAATTACAGATACCTTGTTCAGCCTCCAAAGCCTCCTTCCTCTCTTATACAAGGGCACTTCAAGGGAAGACCTTACAAGTGTGAAAGAAATTACGATAACAAAGCCATTGTCTTGTTACCTGTCAGTATTGCTGCTAAAGATGTATAGAGTGTTAAGCACGGGACAGACGACTACGATGACATAATAATGCCAGTTTAAAGTTGACGGCCCCACTGTTGACATGTACCAAAGAGGAGCAGCATTCTGTAATCCATTTTTATTTTAAGTCAGTGAAGGGCTGAAACCTTTACAAATTTATCGGCGAACGAAAAGCCAGTATGGTGAAGCATGTCTGACGGTCCTGCAAGTGTATGAGTAGAGTAGGAAGTTTCCAGACTGGCGTGACTTCTGTGAGAGACTGTTGAAGGAAAAGGGGGGGGGGGGGGGGGTCGAGTGTGACCTTAGAGTCAGCTGCAGCTGATGAAGGCCTCAGACAACAAAACCGCTGATTGACCGTGATTGCCACTGCCACACATCTTGACATCTGTCAAGATTCAACTTACCACATCATCCATAATGTGCTACAGTACCACGAAGTGTCTGCAGTGGGGTACCCAGGCAGCTTACTCTAGAACCCCGGTAAGGGCTGGGACTGGTTTACGTGGACTTGGACATATAATAACCCCCCCCCCCCCCCCCCCCGGTCTCTGGGTAGTGAAATCGATCGCCCGTGTACATTGTTGCGCACATTAAAAATCCCTTGGCAGTTGGAAATCAAAAAGAGTAGCCTAACGGCGCTGCCCGGGCAAAATTTTGAGTTGAAAATCTACCCAAAGCATTTCAGGATCCTCGCCGGTGCTATAGAGCCTGTGCACCGTGTTGAGCTTCTTCAGGACCCGGACTTGAGTAAGAAGAAGAACGGAGCACTTATGGGTTACTACCCGTGTGCCATGATGTTGATCCGTTGTTCAATCAAACCTGAAACCTGAAACCTCAAACTTCAAACTTCAAACCTCAAACCTCAAACCTCAGACCTCAAACCTCAGACCTCAAACCTCTAACCTCAAACTTCAAACCTCAAACCTCAAACTTCAAACCTCTAACCTCAAACCTCAAACCTCAAACCTCAAACCTCAAACCTCAAACCTCAAACCTCAAACCTCAAACTTCAAACCTCAAACCTCTAACCTCAAACTTCAAACCTCTAACCTCAAACTTCAAACCTCTAACCTCAAACCTCAAACCTCAAACCTCAAACCTCAAACCTCAAACTTCAAACCTCAAACCTCAAACCTCTAACCTCAAACCTCAAACCTCAAACCTCAAACCTCAAACCTCTAACCTCAAACCTCAGACCTCAAACCTCAAACTTCAAACCTCAAACCTCTAATCTCAAACTTTAAACCTCAAACCTCAAACTTCAAACCTCAAACCTCTAACCTCAAACTTCAAACCTCTAATCTCAAACTTTAAACCTCTAACCTCAAACTTTAAACCTCAAACCTCTAACCTCAAACCTCAAACCTCAAACTTTAAACCTCAAACCTCTAACCTCAAACTTCAAACCTCAAACCTCAAACTTCAAACCTCAAACTTCAAACTTCAAACCTCAAACCTCTAACCTCAAACTTCAAATTTCAAACCTCTAACCTCAAACTTCAAACCTCTAACTTCAAACCTCAAACCTCAAACCTCAAACTTCAAACTTCAAACCTCAAACCTCAAACCTCAAACCTAAAACCTCTAACCTCAAACCTCAAACCTCAAACCTCAAACTTCAAACTTCAAACCTCTAACCTCAAACCTCAAACCTCTAACTTCAAACCTCAAACCTCAAACCTCAAACTTCTAACTTCAAACCTCAAACCTCAAACTTCAAACTTCAAACCTCAAACCTCTAACCTCAAACCTCAAACCTCTAACCTCAAACTTCAAACCTCAAACTTCAAACTTCAAACCTCAAACCTCTAACCTCAAACTTCAAACCTCTAACCTCAAACCTCAAACCTAAAACCTCAAGAACTGAAACAACGATGCATTGCTGGAAGCTTGTCAAGAACTTTTCCTCACCTCCAGTAAGAGTAAAGGCCATGTTTCCACGCGCTCAAGCGTATTGGGCATATAGGGCTAGACTTATATTTTATAGACCAATCGGCATTCGGTGGATGGTGTCGTCAACATCACGACGACCGTCTTTACTTCCCACGATTTACCTGGTACATATTTGAGGCTGGGTTGACTTGGTCTTTTTTGAACCCGTGACCTTTGGATCCGCAGACTGGCTTCTAGCCACTGCACCAGGGCGGCTCCTGTTTTTTTATACACAAATTGTGAATAAATACATGTCTGTCTGTCTGTCTGTCTGTCTGTCTGTCTGTCTGTCTGTCTGTCTGTCTGTCTGTCTGTCTGTCTGTCTGTCTGTCTGTCTGTCTGTCTGTCTGTCTGTCTGTCTGTCTGTCTGTCTTTCTGTCTGTCTGTCTTTCCGTTTCTCTCTGTTGCAGCCATATTGCCTGTCTCTGACTGTCTCTATGTGTTTCTTTCTCTTTTACTCTCCCTCTCTCTCTCTCTGTCTCTCTCTCTCTCTCTCTCTCCCTCTCTCTCTCTCTCTCTCTCTCTCTCTCTCTCTCTCTCTCTCTCTCTCTCTCTCTCTCTCTCTTTCCTGTCTAGCAAATACCGAACTACAGAAATACATTGTAGACCAGCGTTTCTCAAATTTCTTTCGCGGCGGCGCACTTGTCAAGCAACAGTTCGCGAAAAAACGGCAAATTTAATGTTCGGTTCTTTTTAATGTGATGAATGAAACTCTTTGGATAAAATCTTTCATAATTTCCTGTATGTATTTGGGAAGTTTAGGTAACTGTACTCTCCGATTACTTAAAGGTTGCTCCTGTGTCTTCAAGCAGATTGTGAAAAATTCTTGATTATTACCGCGTTACCCCTGGCATACGCTCGTGGCACCCCTGGGTGCTGCGGCACACAGTTATAGAACCGCTGTTGTAAATAACCGCGGCCATGACAGAAATAATTCAGGGGAAACAACTCGTACATTCTGTCATGTTGACAGTAATATCCCCTTGCGTGCAGCGCTAGGGAAGGTTTGGGGGAGGGAAGTGAAGGCGGCGGCGATCGACAGGGCTAGCTGACGTGAGCCCTGCGTATTGATCACGTGACTAGTATCCCCAGTAACTGATAGCCCTGGTCAGTCATCTCTTCTTGTAGACTGAGTTGACGAGTTCCGGTCTCTGTTTGCGTGTCTAATGTCTACACAGAGGGTTGTTGTAGTCAAGCGCTTGGGTTTGTCTCTCTATTTTAGTTTTTTCCTTCTGTCACAAACCTTTAATTGGTCGCCTTGTATGGCATGCTTGTAAGGGGGCAGTGGGTCTGCCCCCCACAACCCCCCACACCAAATGGGGAACCGAAACCCACACAGGGATCGTTTTTTTTTTTTTGGCTGTCTCTGATGTTGTTTTCTCTCTCAGTGTGGGTGTCTTCAATCTCTCTCTCTCTCCATTACATTCATACTTTAACAGAAGCAGAAACCATGCCATGAAGAGAAAGAGTTTATGAAAACTGTAACACACACACACACACAGAGTCCAAGAAAGACTAGACGCATTTAACAATGCAGACTTTCTCTCTCTCTTTCTCTCTCTATCTCACACACACACACACACACACACACACACACACACATATATATATATATATATATATATATATATATATATATATACACACACACACACAATCAAGGAAAGACAGACGGACATTTAAACATGCAGACTTTCTCTTTGTCTCTCTGTCTCTGTCTCTCTCCTCTCTATCTCTCACACACACAGAGAGATAAATAAATATATATATATATATATATATATATATATATATATATATATATATATATATATATATATATATACACACACACACACACACAGAGTCAAAGAAAGACAGACGGACATTTAAACATGCAGACTTTCTCTCTGTCTCTCTGTCTCTTCTCTCTGTCTCTCTCTCTCTCTCTCTCTCTCTCTCTCTTACACACACACACACACACACACATATTTAGATATCTGGTAATCCTAGTTTCAGCTTCATAGCAAACGGGTCACCCCATAGTTGCTCCGCTCCTGTGCTAACGAAAAATACACGTAGCTCACAGTGTAACGCCATGCACTCAACTCAGAAGCTGGGCGACAAGACTATATCCTTCCAGTCTACAAATGGAACAAAAATGCAACGGCCACCGTCTGGCAGGAAAAAAAGGTGGCCGTGCCTAGCGTCCATTTTGACCTGAAGCATTATATGAGGGTTATTAAACGGTCACCCCAGCAGTACCCTCATTATTAGCTGGGGAAGGGACTTAGGACATTACATCCACCAGCAGGCGTCGCCCCTACAACGACCTGCCTGCCTTCGTTAACGACTGTTCACCCAACAGCCATGCAGTTCTTTGGCACAAAGGAGACACCTTGAACTTGGGTTTCGGACTGCCGACTCCCTACAAGATGTTATTTTATGTTTTGTTATCACACTTGATGTCACTGCACAGTGGGCATACATTGGACATACGTTGTCTTGCCTCCAATTAAACTGGCGCCGATATCACGTGTTCACAGCTTCCAACGACCTCAGAACATCTAAAACTGGCCCTAACACCCCTCCCCCCCCCCCCTCTTTACCCACAGCCTGAAACGAAATCCCAAGAGACTCTCTTTTCAAAGAAAGCAGTACAACGGGACACCCCTCTGACCTATATCAGACTGACAAAGTGTGTAGATGGACCGGGAAACGTGAACAGATCCGTTTCTAAATTATGTGTGTAGAACGTATTCCAGGATTATCTGCGGCTTGTTGTTTCTCTGCCAGAAAGTGATCGTCTTCGTGCTGTCCCACGTGGGTCTGACCACTCTAGTGGGTCTCTACGCCGTGGCAGGTGGGTTCATTTTCCAGAGGCTGGAGAGAAACATGGGCTTCATGAACGCGGAGGCGCCCCAGGCTTACAGGGTTGTGGCCATCAGGGCTAACTCCAGTTTCCCAGACAGGACCAGCTTTGAAGCGCTCAGGTAATTTGTTTCAACATTTTGCACGATAGGTCATCATCGGCATTCTCATCATCACCACTACAACAACCACTACAACAAACCACTACAACAACCACTACAACAACCACTACAATAACCATTACAACAACCACTACAACAACCATTACAACAACCACTACAACAACACTACAACAACCACTACAACAACCACTACAACAACCACTACAACAACCATTACAACAACCACTACAACAACCATTACAACAACCACTACAACAACCACTACAACAACCACTACAACAACCACTACAACAACCACTAAAACAACCACTACAACAACCACTACAACAATCACTACAACAGCCATTACAACAACCACTACAACAACCATTACAACAACCACTAAAACAACCACTACAACAACCACTAAAACAACCACTACCATCGTCATTATTATCGTCTACAAATACCACGACTACCATCTCTATTATCAGTAGTTTCTTGCCGTCCTTTTTAGGATAACAGTTTTCGTTATTTGAAGCCCCACCCTAGATCTTGCTATGGGCTGCAATATAGCCTAGCCATAAATATGGCCTAGTGGCTGAACGAGATTTCTAGAACATCTCCACGGGTGATCCTCATTCACATGGTGGCACTTCGTGTCATCGGGTGTTTATCGCTTGTGTGATGTCCTGGTGGGGTAGAAAGTCAGTCAGTCTCTATTAACACTATCGTCATCACTACCACCACAACTATTATAATCATCGTCATCACTACCACCACAACTATTATAATCATCGTCATCACTACCACCACAACTATTATAATCATCGTCATCACTACCACCACAACTATTATAATCATCGTCATCACTACCACCACAACTATTATAATCATCGTCATCACTACCACCACAACTATTATAATCATCACTACCACCACAACTATTATAATCATCACTACCACCACAACTATTATAATCATCACTACCACCACAACTATTATAATCATCACTACAACAACCACCACTCCAACAACAATCATCATCGTCATAATCGTCTACCAGTACCACGACCACAATCACGATCCTCGTCATCATCACTGTCTCCATCGTCATCATGAAACTACAACATATCTAGGAAAATAAAATCGCAGGCATGCACTGATGAGAGGCTATCAGCCGATAGCAGTATCATGGAACACGTCTATTGGTCAAGTACCTGAATTACAACTATATAGCACGACTATTGATCAAGCACCTGACATACTGTAGGACAATAGAGAATGAACTAGGTCAAGAAACTGACATACAAATAGTACAGTGGAGCGTAACAGTGGGTCAAAAACCTGACACACTGCAGGACAATGGAGAATAACTAGGTCAAGAAACTGCACACAAATAGTACAGTGGAGCGTAACAGTGGGTTAAGAGCCTGACATACTGCAATACAATGGAGAATAACTAGGTCAAGAAACTGACATACAAATAGTACAGTGGAGCGTAACAGTGGGTCAAAAACCTGACACACTGCAGGAAAATGGAGAATAACTAGGTCAAGAAACTGACACACAAATTGTATATTGGAGCATAATAGTAGGACACAATGGAACAGGCAGTGGAAAAACGCTGACAACGTAGATGCCGACATTAAGAAAACATTCTGGGGCGCTCATTTGGGCCCTCACAAATTCTTGAAGGGAGAAAAATGATCGAGCCATCCTAAATTTTGACAAAGTTCCTGAGTTTCCCAGGCTGCGACGTCTAGAATTGACGGTAAGCATAAACGAAATGACGGCATACTTCGTGACGCTTCGAATTCCTAGAATATGTTGACAATTGTCATGCCTGTTCCTTAGAGTCAAGCATGTTGAAGACTTGTGGAACCTAACGCTCAGTCTCAACGTGCTACAACCGGAGGTGTGGAAGGAGATCGCCAGTGCTGACCTGGAGCTGTTTGAGAAGGACATCTACCAGGTACATGCTACAGTCACACACACCATCACATCACATCATCATCATGTACTTTGCCAACTGGCGTAGGCGCTCATGCGTCTCCGCAGATCACGATCCCTGGTTGCTTGGAACAGCTCTCTTGATGATATCCCTCTATGCCATTGTTTCAGCCCATCCAGGTTAATCTCCCTGGTCTGCCTCTACCCCTATTTTCACCAACATAACATTTCCACTTGTCACCATATTTTCCAGTGCCCCTCTTCTCATTACGTAGCCAAAAAGCAGTGTTTCTCTCCTTCTTATTGTTGTATATAGAGATCACCACATCTCGAAGTAATTAATCTCATTGCTGATCTTAAAGACATCAATTTTCTAGCTGATCTCACAGACTAGTTTGAGTCACCTCTGAGACAAACGATCCTCCATGCCATGATGTCAAACTCTCCATCATTTTTCTCTCGGTCTTCCTCTGCCCCTTCTTCCCTCCAATTTTCCTAGTGTCACGATGTACTCCAGTTTTCTCCTCCCCATCACACGACCAAAGAATGTAAATCGTCTCTTTCTGGTGTGGGCCGTCAGTTCTCTTCGTTAGACATCTTCATTACTCTTTCTATCAGTCCGTGGTGTTTTCATCATTCGTCTGTAAAACGACATCCCCGCAGCTTTCGAATCAATTTTCACTAATTTGCCAATTGTCCATGATTCACTTTCCCTATATTAAGATAGGATTTATATAGCTTTTAAGAATTCTCTCTCTTGTCTCGATTAACAAAGAATTATTGCATAAAACTACTGATATCATAGATTATTTAATTTTATTGTTGATCTCACTAAATAATTAATCGCATTGTTGATGTTACAGACTGATTTATCTCAGCGTTAAATCGCATTGTAAGTATTTGCAATGTTTACCTCGTGGTCGTGGGTTCGCTCCCTGGCGGAGCCGGACTTTTTTCCAAAAATGACCTTGGCTCCCAGGTCAACCCAGCCTTGAGTGGGTACCGGGTGCAGTCCCGGGAAGTAGAGGCGGCCGGCGTGATACTGACCACATCACCCATCTTGTGCCGATTGGTCTATAAAAATATAGGTCTAGCCCTATATGCCCTATACGCCTAAGGTGTGGAAAAGGGTCCTTTACTTTACTTTTTTTTTTTCAACATCCACAGACAAATAAATCTTAGTGTTCAAACCACAGACTGCTAAGATCAAAGACTAATCGGTCTCACTGTCGACCTCATTAGCAAATTAACCACGAGTGTTGACCCAGTTGATTAATTAATTTCACTGCTGACCTGACTGACACACCGACTGACCTGCTGACCAATGAACTGACCAGTTAGTTCTTGCAGGCGATGCTGCATCTCGTACGTGACGTGGCCGAGCCGGGGCTGCCCGTAACGACAACGACAGCAAGAATACCCGGGGATACACACAGCCAGCCACTGACCACTGACTGGACCTACTCTAGCGCCCTGCTGTTTGCTGTTACTGTGATTACCACCATCGGTGAGTAAATGAATCAATGAATAAATGCCCGGCTCGCTAGCGTAGTTAGCTAAACCGGATTGCGTGGTGACCGGGTAAGTGACGAACTCCTTGTGGTCCGGGTTCACGCCCGGGGGCAGGCAGAAAAGCCACATTTCTCCCACATTTACGGTATTTATCATGGAATCAAGGCCGAAAGGTTGCGATATCCATAATACCGATCCTAAGGGTTAAAAACTCATGGCTTCTGGTTACTTTAAAAAAAAATCAATGAATAAATGAATCAATGTGTGAAGAATCAAAAAGTGACGTCACGGCACTCGAGACATTTCCACAAGTGCTGCTTTCCCAAGTAGCCAGGGGGCTGCGTGGTCTCGAGGCACGGTGTCCACCTCAAGTGCTAGAGGTTCCGGGCTCAATCCCAGAAAAGGGTTGGAATCTTTTTACGTGGACCTGGACTTCTTGTAATTCCCCTATGGTCTCTGGGTAGTGAGATTAGACGCCCGTGTGCATTGTTGCGCATGTAAAAAAAAAAAGTCCTTTGGCAGTTGGAAATCGAAAAAAGTAGCCCAACGGAGCTGCCCGTGCAAATTTGGAGTTAAAAATCTACCCAAAGTATTTCAGGATCATCGCCGGTGCTACAGAGCCTGTGCACTGTGTTGAGCTTCTTCTGACTTTGCTCCGCCACAGCGTCTATTGTAATTATTATTGTTATATTTTTTGTATTACTGTTATCATTTCGCTATTTTTTGTTAGTTGTAGTAATAATGTTAGTTAATATTATTATAATACCACGTGATCTTGTCTACGCACAGGCTACGGCGACACAGTGCCCAGGAGTTGGGAGGCCAAGATTGTCTGTATCGTCTACGCTGTGTTCGGCATCCCTTTGACACTTCTGTGTTTGGCCAACATTGGCTCTCTGCTAGCCTCCGTTTACCGTTTCACCTGGAAACACGCCTCTCACCTGGCTCTCGTCGTAGTTCGGGCCCCAGAACGTAAGTATGCCCCCCCCCCCACACTCCCCCCCCCCCCCCCCCCCAACCCACTCTCTAGCAGCCTTGTACAATTTACGGATTTACGGACAGGGTCAAGATAGAGGTGCGCTTACGTAAGAGAGAACTACAAAAGAAACGAATAAAAAAAGTAAAACGAATCATTCAGTTTATGAATGAATCAATCAGTGAATGAATCAATCAATCAGTGAATGAATGAATTAATCAGTGCAAGAATGAATCAATCAGTGAAATAATGCATGCCAGTGAGCACGCCCTTTATTAAATATGGCTTTCTTCGAAAGTCTCTCTTTCTGAAGTCAATTCTCCAGCCCTATGTGCTTTCATAGCTAATGCATTTTCTGTGTCTTGTATCAACGTTCGTGGAGATAGGCCTCTGTCTCGTTTTCCAGAAACTGCACCTTCCACCACCGTTCTTTCCAGACCTCCATAGCGCTTGGTATGTCCAAAATACCTCAGCGTTCGAGAAAGGATACACAGTTCAAGTTCTGGAACCAGACTGATACACAGAAGTGGACGAACAACCAGAAACGTCAGCTGGAGTTTACAACCGGTGATCACGAAGAAGAAGGTAAAGTCGGGTATGGGAAACAGCGTCATTGCACACGGTTATAAACCGGGTGATGTGAACCAGCGTCCTTGCACACGGTTATAAACCATAAGGGCTCAAGCCACCAGTAGCGACTGCTGATGAGAAAATGTCGGCCTGTGAGGCCGTCCGCACGAAACTCCGTAGCTACAGCGACGTTCCTCTATTTACCCCAGAGTGATAACTCTAGTGTCCATTTTCTAGAGGCTGGGTTAACCCCAGAAACCGTCTAGTTTCGAACACCGGCCGTGGGCTGCAGCGTGAAGCAGATGGATTTAAAAGCGAGTCTCCTATCGACTGCGCTAACGCAGCCCCTCACAAAGAAGAAGAAGAAGAAGAAGAAGAAGAAGAAGAAGAAGAAGAAGAAGAAGAAGAAGAAGAAAAAGAAGAAGAGCCTATGGTTTCTGGCTCATTAATATAGTTAGGAATATCAAAGAGCAATTACTTAGCTGAGGATCAGGAAAGATAATCACTAATAAATAATAAACTAAATGATACGGATAGCTTATGTTAGAAATGTCAACTGGTACTGTTTCCTAGGCAACAAACCTCTGGTGAGGACCTCCCAGGTGAGGGTCCCAGTGTGGGTCTCTCTGATGACCATGATTGTCTACATCCTGGGCGGAGCGGCCATTTTCTCGGAGTGGGAGAACTGGACATTTCTGGAAGGTTCTTATTTCTGCTTTATCACGTTGAGCACTATTGGGTTTGGAGATTATGTCCCTGGAAAGGTGGGTCGTTTCCTTTCGTTGTGGATGTTTTGTTTAAAGATTTGCTTCATTTCCCCGAGTGGGTCGTTTCCTTTCTATAATTAATATATACTTTCCGTCCTTTTTAGTATGACATTTTTCGTTGTATGAAGCCATACTCTGGCTTTTGCCAGGGGCCGCAATATAGTCTGGCTATAAATATGGCCTAAAGGCTGAACGCGGTTTCTGGGACCTCTCCACGGTGATCCTCACCCGCATGGTGGCACTTGTGTCATCGGGTGTTTATCGCTTGTGTGATGTCCTGGTGGGGTAGAAAGTCAGTCAGTCAGTCAGTCAGTCAGTCAGTCAGTCGTTTCCTTTCCTTGTGGATGTTTGTTTAAAGATTTGCTTCATTTCCACATGTGGGATGTGGGTCCCCATTGGATTGATGGTTGTTCGATCATTCCGTTTACTGATGATGTTTGCTCAAGGATTCATTTCGATTTTGTGTTTATTCCATGACACATTTCGTTACCGATGTTTGTTCATTTATTCATTTCACTTTTTTTTTTACTAAATTACTGCAAACATCATTTATGTTCCTAAGTACGAGGGAATGAATGATCAGATTATAGTTATCTCCTTGTGGAATGCAATTTTTCGTTATTTTGAAGCCCCACACTAGCTCTTGCCAGGGGCCGCAGTATAGCCCGGCAAAAAATATGGTGTAATAGCTGAACGCGGTTTCCGGGACCTCTTCACGGGTGATCCTTATCCACATGGTAGCAATTTGTGTCATCAGGTGTTTATCGCTTGTGCGATGTCCTAGTGGGGTAAAATGTACTACTACTACTAGAGCGGATTTTCTGGCTACAAAAGCGATAGCTACGGTAACACTTGTACAGGACACAGGAGATATTCTGAAGACCATATATGAACGAATGTTGAAAGAAGACACGAGGTTAGATCAAATAACTTGTGTAAGAATTTGTGAACGAGGAATTGGAAGTGGATCTGGCACAGACGAGCGCATGACAGGAAGAGAACATGCTGTTCCTAATCAGCATGCCATGGGAACATTAACATCAACACATTAAGACATTTGCTGCGGGAGACGGAGCCTCTGTGGGTATGCCCGATGTGCTATGATGTCAATTATTAAATCAGTAATTAGTTAATCAGTAATTGTTATGTGTTCAGTTACCTTGATGTGAATTGATGTTTCATAGATCTGAGTCTGATCTGTAGATGTTTCTCAGATGAAACCGACTATAAAGAGTAGTCTCTTGACCCGTATACACATCCACACTACACACTCACACTACACACACACACACTGCACACCCAATACACCCCTACACCAATACACCCACACCACAGACTTACACCATAACAGCACACTCTAACTTACACCACAAGCCCACAACACAGGCCCACAACCCACACTACACCACACACCCACAACACACACTCACAACACACACCCACACGACACCCATACCACACACTCACGTCGACACCCCCTACCCCCATCTCACACCACACGCCCACACACCCAAATCCATACAACACACCCACACCTTGTAGCTACACCACACACACACACACACATACACATACACACATACACACACCAACCAAACACACATCTGTGAGACAATGTCTTCCGTCCACAATTTGTTCCCCTTCAGGACACAGAGACCCTGGATTCGAACGTCAAGCGTGTGGTCTGCGCGCTCTATCTGCTCTTCGGCCTGGCGCTGCTGTCGATGATCTTCCAGTTAATCCAGGACTCGGTGACCATCGTCGTTGGGCGCTACGCGAGCTTCTTGGGTCTCAGCGAGGCTCAAATAGAGAGGGATATTCTGGAACCTGAAGTCACCGTGGGTAGAAAGACAGAACCTGCTGATGGTTGTATTCTCGAGGACAACGTCGAGACTAAGGATGAAGTCGCCATAGGAGACACCGCCAAAACCATATTCCCTGTAAGCGTTCCTGAATTCAGTGATAAAGAGGTCCTGGACAAACATTGCAGATTTGACGATGCGACTAATCGTATGTATGGTCTTCAACGTGTCCGGTCTCTTCCAATTCATAGAACTCCAAGGAAAGCCTACAGGAATGTCTCCAGACTCTATTCTGTGCCGGAGGAAAAAGTTCTCAGGGATATCTCGTGTTGTTTAGACAAGCCTGGAGGTTCCCTTGATGTGGTTATCCAGACAAATGTCGGAGATGTCGCCACGAACGGTAGATATCGCAAACACAGTCTACCGTCTGTCCTTGTTGACAAAGAGAAGCTGCAGGCATAACAGGGGATTTTCGTGTACTTTTGTGGCTTCCCTAAGCGTATTATTGACATGAACACAGTGTTTAAGATCTTATGTTGTTGTTGTTGCTATAGATCCAGCGCCCTCTGGCCCAATGCCGTGAAGTGGAATTTGCATGTTTTCACAAGCTGTTCTTTCCCTCCGTACAAGGTGTTTCACTTGTCTTGTCTCGGAGGGTGTAGCATTCTTCCAGCCTCGCTGAGTTTTGGGCACTCAAAAAGATGGTGTTCAACAGTTTGAGATCTTAAGTGACGTCGTAAATGTGAATAGAAATGACTGCAGTTGGGCTTCAGTTTAGAAACAAAAGCTTAACAATGAGGGGTCTTAAAATGAAAACCTGAAAATAACAATACAGATTACAGTAACCAGTTCATTGTTTCGTGACCTGTCAATATTGCTGCCAAGGATGTCAAAAGTGTTAAGTACATGACATCATAGTGCAGACGAAACCGGGACATCATAATCACAGTATAAAGATAGCGCACCATTTTTGACGAGCATCCAAGATGAGCAGCACTCTGTTGTCTGTTTTTTTTTTTTTTTTAAATCGGTGAAGGGATGAAATCAATAGAAATTCATCGGCGAATGGAGTTCCAATGTGGTGTTGCATGTTTGCCAGTTTACCAACTGTATGGGTGCAATATTCAGTTTCAAACCGGGTATTTTATGGATAAAATAAGTCAGGCTCACGACGTGGTGACCCCAGAGTCGACTGCAGCCGTTAAGAGCCTTGCAAGGGGAAATCAGCGATTGACTGTGAGGGATAAAGACAATACTCAAAGCGGACCTCCATTCACTGATGCATTTCTATAGATTTTTCCTCCTACAATTATTTTTAAAAAAAAAAAAAAACCGCACCCAAATTACAGAATACTGTCCCTGTCTGGTACACATTGAAAGCATGGCGACCATCTTTAATCCGTCGTCATGATGTTACCGTGCTCGCATGCTCCGCGATGACACGAGCTTAACATTTTTGATATCCTTAACAACAATAGTGACAGGTTACGAGACACTGTCAAGGTTACTGTAAGTTATATCACATTTTAAGGTGTTTACTTGAAACTCCATCGTTAAAAGGAGTGAGTAGAGTTGAGCAGATACAAAACAACTGAAAGTTTCGACCAACGTCTTTATCAATAGTGTACTATTTAAAACTCAAACTATGTATTGTAAACACTATCTGTCTTGTTTGTTGTAGTTCCTTGACAAAGAATTTCAACGTTTAGTTGTGTATGTGCGCGTCCTTTCCATTCCGTTGAGCTTTCTATTCCCAGTTTGTTATGTAGTTAGTACTTCTTTGCAGTCTCAACAGATTTGTTCTTGTCTCGTGTTTATTTTTCTGCTTTTCTCCCCCCTTGTATTTGACAATGAGAGACGGAGTTGTTCAAGAACTTCTGTGCAAAGACCGAGTTCTTAATGAACTCTTGTGCAAAGAAGGAGTTGTTCATGAAATCCTGAGCAAAGATAGAGTTCATGAACTAGCACAGAAAGGCGGAGTTATTCATGAACTCCTGCGAAAAGAAGGAGTTGTTTATAAACTCACGCGCAAGACAGAGTTGTTTATGAACTCCTGCGCAAAGAAGTTGTTCATGAACTCCTGCGAAAAGATGGAGTTGTTCAAGAATCGCACGGAAAGACGGAGTTGTTTATGAACACATGCGGAAAGACTGAGTTCGTGAACTCAGAAAACTGCGGAAAAAAAGGAGTTGTCTATGAACTTGCGCTAAAAAACGTTGTTCGTGAACTTCTGGACGTTTGTCTGGTTCCAGAGCTTTGATGTTGCGCGCGCATCCATTTTACAGATCTAACCTATTTGTGTAGAGACTGCTGAAGCTTTGATTCTACTTAAGGTTTGATTCTCAGACAGATGCTCTCCCACTTCAAAGGACACGGAGGGCTTCAACTTGTGTGGCCAGAGACTCCCGGTTGGGAACCTGATTCGCGGATGACGGCGAAGAGATGTAGCCAGGCCTTGAGAACGTCCGGCTTCAGCTGACGGGCCATGCTGCTGACGTCAGCAGGTCGGGCAAACGATGCGTTAACGCAGCGGTTCTCAAACAAGACACTATTTTTAACAGTGGCGGGGAAAGACAACTTAAATTTTAAGTTTTGAGAATCTACGTGCCTTTTTTAAATAATTTTACAATTTTTTGCCGACTTTTCTTGATTATTGCCGCGGCAACCCTGGCATACTCTCACGACATCCCAGGGTGCCTCAACACCCAGTTTTAGAACCGCTGCGTCAACACATTGTTTGCCTGACCTGGTGATGTCAGCAGCACGGCCCGTCAGCTGAAGTAGGTCGTGCCTTGACCAGTGGAAGCCTTGGACCTTAGCACACAACCACATGTGGTTTAGCAATTCTGCATCCTTCTGTACATGTTTAACGTATGCCACATCCTCCCATGTAATAGTGGATATCAAGCTGTCAATTTATTCATTAATCATGATATTATGATGGTTATTGTTATGAGATGCCCGAGAGAAGCAGCCACCCTCAGCATCTAATATCGTGATAATATCAGGCAGACTATGCGAGCAACACCTTGTTCTGGATTCATCCAGAAACAGCGGATCAAGTGCCTACATCTGAAGATCAGCAGCAGGACCCAGAGGACGGCCACAAAAAGAATGGATCGACAATATTAAAGACACTTTACGCCTTAACGGTATGAAAATCGAACCTGGCACCCCGGCATTACGATGCGTTCACATGCGTTCGACTTAGCCACAGAGCCGACAATGCATAACATAATTAATTAGAACATTCTGTGTCTTATGCAAGTAAAAAAAAATATCCAATGTTTACCACTTGCCCTGTGAGTCAATGTACGATTTACGAGAAAAAGTTTATACAGAATTAGTTTAGTGCTTAAAAGTAAGATATTTAGAGAAAAAAAAGTCAATATTTTTCAGACCAATTAGCACTCGTTGGCGTGCACCTGATCGCCAATTATTCCTCCCCACCGCAGCGTGGTGTAGCGGCTAGACTCTAGCCTGCGGATCGAAATGCTGCGGGTTCGGATTTGGGTGGACCCGGACTTTCTAAAAAAAAAAAACACACATTGAATGGGAAGTTAAGGCGACCGGCTTGATATTGACCACATCACTCACCAAGTCTATAAAACTGGACTATAAAATATAGATCTTGCCCTATGTGCATAATACGCCTAGAGAAGTGGAAACGGATCCTTTTTACTGACTGACTGACTTTCTACCCCACTCGGACATCACACAAGCGATAAACACCCGATGACACAAAGTGCCACCATGTGGATGAGGATCGCCGTGGAGAGGTCCCAAAAACCGCGTTCAGACAATTGGCCATATTTATGGCCTGCCTATATTGCGGTCCCTGGCAAAAACCAGGGTGGGGCTTCAAATAACAAAAAAAAATTCGAAATACATGGTAATACGGCTAACGTTTTTACTTTTACGGCGCAGAATGTCGTTTAGAATTACTTTTGTTATTGCTGTTGTTGTTATTATTATTGTAAATTATTATTATTTTTATTTTTCAAGTCCATATCGAGACGGATATTTTAAAAATGACCTTAGCTCCCAGGTCGACCTAGTTTGAAATGGGTACCAACTTATGCCCTAGAAAGTAAAGGCGGTCGGCAAGATGTTGATATTGGCCCCAAACTGCAAAGTTGTAGCCCTTGAATGACAACTTGCTTGACTGACATTTTATCTAGTATAGTTTGAAGGTTTGAAGTTTGAGACAAGAACAACGGATCCACATCATGGCACACTGGTAGTAACCCATAAGTGCTACTTTCTTCTTCTAACTTAAGTCTGAATCCGAAGAAGCTCAGCACAATGCACAGGTTCTGTAGCACCGGCCAGGATCCTGAAATACTTTGGGTAGATTTGTAACTCCAAATTTTTCCCAGGCAGCGCCGTTAGGCCACTCTTTTCGATTTCCACTCCCAAAAGACTTTTTACGAGCGCAGCAATGCACACGGGCGTCCGATCTAACTACCTAGAGACCAGCGGGAAAATTCTAGAAGTCCAAGTGCACGTGAAAAGATCCTAGCCCTTACCAGGAATTGAACCCGGAACCTCTAGCTGTCGGACACCATGCCTCGAGGCCAGGCAGCCCCCTGCCTAGTAAAGTTTTAACATAGAAGTGCATCATATCTAGGCATCATGTCTTGGCGAAGTATACTTCCTAAAATGGACATCCGAATGAAGTTCATAAAAAGATATTTGTTTCCAGCTAGGTTTTGCTGTTGGAAATTCTCCATTTCTTGACTGGGAGTCCAGACGTTGCGTCACCCATTTATTGAGTTGAGAGCTTGGTGATGTAAGGAACCATAAACAGTTTATCATACAGAAAGAATAAACAGTTCATTATAAGGAACCATAATCAGTGTATCATACGGAAACCATAAACAGTTTATCATTCAGAAACCATAAACAGTTTATCATACAGAAACGATAAACAGTTTATCATACACAAACCATAAACAGTTTATCATACAAAAGCCATGAACAGTTTATCACATAGAAACCATAAACAGTTTGTTCCACAAGTAAGAAACAGATTATTTTAGTTTCAGAAACCTTTTTATTTTATCATCTATTTATGTGCTGTTTTCAAACTTATAGAGAGATAATTTTTTAACAGGAATAAGAGATAGTTACTATTCTAAATAGACAAAAGGCAGTTATTGTACCTAGGAATAAGTGAGGTATTTGATAAGGAGAGGTTTGGGGGGTGGGGTGGGGGGGGGGGTGGATATAAGAAGAGGAAGTGTCCATACCAGCAGGCTAAGTGAGTTGATACTTCACTGGAATTGATTACAGTTAATATTTCAATGGAATAGAGTTAATGTCTATTCTAATGATCTAAAAGATCGTAAATCAAAAATTGTCATCACAGCACTCGGGGCATTCCCTTACGTGCCCCGTCCTCATTTTCAGCAGGGTCTGGGGAAACTAATGACGAATTAACTGAAACAGCTAATACTTCAAGGAAATAAGAAACAGATAATATACTCCATCAGTTAATATTTCAAGGAAATATAAAACAGTGAAAATTTTACGTGAATAATGAACAGGCTTCCAAAGGAAAAAAGATATGTTAGTTGCTTCATTTGGGCAGACAACTGTGACAATTTATATAAAGTGAGAGAAGATACATTTGGTGCTGTTTTACTAGGTAAATGAGAAAATAAATAAACAAAAACAAACTCAGGTTATTGTTAGTCGTGACGTCACTGGCGTCTGGAGGCAGATCAGCTGGATAATGTTTACAGCCAGAAGGTGAAGGTTGTGGCTTAAGTGGGTCACTAAAGGTCAGGGTCCTCTAGCATGGCCTTTTCTGCCTCCCCCCGACATGGCGCGATTCGACTTAGAAACTCGAAGCCATGTCCTCTAGCCTTGGACAGCTCGTTCTGTCGTCGGAGTAAACAGAAAGAAGACATATGGAATTTACAGGCAATCACAAGTTTATAGCCAAGCGCAGCACAATCACAATCACAATATTGGAGTTTACAGTCAGTCACGACACTGAAGTTTACAGTCAATCACAACAATAAAGTTTACAGTCAATCCCAAAATTGGACTTTAGAAATCAGTCACAACATTGGATTTTATCGTCAACTACAAAAATAGAATTTACAGCCAAGTCACGACATAAAGTTTACAGTCAAGTGTAACAGTGGAGTTCACAATAAATCACAGCTTTGGAGCACACAATCAATCACAACTTGAGATTTTACGGTCATTCACTATATTCTTACCTGTATGAGATATAAACCTGTGACAAAAATTATCACCTGTAACAGACCTTCTCACCAGTGACAGACATTCTTACCTGTGACAGACATTCTCACCTGTGACAGACATTCTTACCTGTGACAGACATTCTTACCTGTGACATTCTTACCCGTGACAGCCATTATTACCTGTGACATACATTCTTACCCGTGACAGACATTCTCACATGTGATAGACATTCTCACCTGTGATATACATTCTCACATGTGACAGACTTTGTAATCTGTGACAAACATTCTCACCTCTGACAGACATTATCACATGTGACAGACATTCTCACCTGTAATAGACATTCTTACATGTGACAGACATTCTCACCTGTGACAGATATTCTCACCTGTGACAGAAGTGCTCACCTGTGACAGACATTCTCACCTGTAATAGACATTCTCACCTGTGACAGATATTCTCACATGTGACAGAAATTCTCACCTGTGACAGACATTCTCACCTGTGACAGACATTCTCACCTGTGACAGACATTCTCACCTGTGACAGATATTCTCACATGTGACAGACATTCTCACCTGTGACAGACATTCTCACCTGTGACAGACATTCTCACCTGTGGCAGACATTCTCACACATGACAGACATTCTCACCTGTTACAGACATTCTCACCTGTGACAGACATTTTCACCTGTGGCAGACATTTTCACTTGTGACAGACATTCTCACATATGACAGGATTCTCACCTGTTACATATATTCTCACCTGTAACAGACATTCTCACCTGTGACAGACATTCTCACCTTGATGTAGCGCCAGATGTTGCCCTTCATGCACGACTCCATCTTCATGTGTTTCAGCACAGTAACAGCACATCTCTGTTCGCAGATCGACGCTCCTTGCTTACACGCTTGACTGACCTCCCTGAAGACTCTGGTGTCTTTGATGTTTGTCAGGAACTCGCGCAGGCTGGTACATCCTTCCAGGGCGTTATCGTCACACATCCTGAAGACGTACATAGACATAGCGTATCATCATCCTGAAGTAGGTCGGTCCTGTTCACGTTTCCAGGTTCATCTACACACTGGCTGATCTTTCATTCATACTTTCTCAGTTTTCTACGTCAGAGGGGTGTCACATTGTCTTACCGTAATTACATTAGCGTCGATGTCCCCTGTTCTATACTACACGACGACACAGCTTTCAACAAGCCCAGAACATCTAGAACTGACCCTCACCTAAACTAACCCCCTCACCCCCCCCCCGCCCCACACCCACACCCACCATCAGCATTAGCCTAGGTCACACAAGAGACTTTTTCGAATAAAACAGTACAACGTGACACCACTCTGACCTAGATCAGACTCAGAAAGTGTGTTGATGGGCAGGAAAACGTGAACAGGTCCAGTAGGTTTTTTGCAGAATGTCGCACACATCACAGTCTGCCTGAAAGAAACTTAAGTCTGTCGCCAGCTCTCCCGCCTCGTGTACTTTTCTGCTCAAGATGTCACTTATATCCCTTGCTTCTCCGTGTGGGGTCTGGGGCTCCCATTGTGGGGGGGGACAAAAATATACCCCTTGTCTGCCCAAAAGCATGTCGTAAGAGTCAACTAAATGGGAGCTTTCTTTGAAGTCGGAGTACATCTGTCTGAGAGGCAAAGAACCAACAGTCTGCATGCAAATGAGTTAGACCTGTTAAATGGATGTTTACGAAACAGTTTCTGGAACAGAACAAGAGTCCAGAAGTGACCGAACAAACTTAATTTTTCCCCAAAGCTTAATGCCGGTGAATGCGAAGAAGAAGAGGGAATTATCCTGCGCCCATCTTCTTTCTGGTCGGCCACTGCTCCCTCTTTCTTGGTACCATGCCGTTTGCCAATATTTCCCAATCCGCCGTGGCGCTTGGTATGACCAAAATATTTTGTTTACTAGCAAATCTTCATCTTCTCATCCCTTCGTGGGCTGCAATTTTTCGTTATCTGAAGCCCTACTCTGGCTCCTGCCAGGGGCCGCAATATAGCCCGGCCATAAATGTGGTCTTATGGCTGAACGTTGTTTCCGGGACCTCTCCATGAGTGATCCTCATCCACATGGTGGCACTTTGTACCATCGGGTGTTTATCGCTTGTGTGATGTCCTGGTGAGGTAAAAGAAGATAGATAGACAGCAAATCTTCATTCATGTTCAGATCTTTAAGGATATCAGTGCCCGGCTCGCTAGCGCAGTTGGCTAAACCGGACTGCGCGGCGACCGGGTGACAAAATCCCTGTGGTCTGGGTTCACGCCCGGGGGTAGGCAGAAAAGCCACATTCCTCCCAGATTGACGGTATTTACAATGGAATCAAGGCTGAAAGGTGGCGATATCCATAATAGCGAGCCAAAGGGTTAACAACTCATGGCTTCTGTATTTATTTTCTTCTTTGTCCACTGTATTCTGAAAATCTTTCTATAGCATTGCAGCTCAAACTTCATCTGTTGTCTTTCCTGGATGGACAGCAACAGCTTATTACTCACAACCATTTATTTTTCTACAGGGAAAGATACCCGCTCTCAAAATTGTAACTTTATTTTTTCAAATTTATCTGAGAGAGCTGAAAAACCAGCGAAGGAAGGTGAAAATGAAGAACAGCCTGACGTCTCAGTTTCTTATCAACAAAAGAAGAGAATAATCAAATCAATCAGAAAGCCACCAATACTGGCACAAGATGATTACTATTTTATGGACAGACCAGAGCAAGTTATTATTCTACACCTTAGAACAGGACACAAACTTGTACACAAAATTTGAAATCGGTGAATCAGCCATGTACATATGTGGATTAGCACCTGAGACAACAGATCATGTCATCCAAGACTGTCCCAAATACAACATATCAAGCCAAAACTTTTGGCCAAGAGAAACATCGGTGCAAGTCAAACTTTACGGGTCGCTGAGTGAATTACAAAAGTCGGTGAAGTTCATACTAGAGACAATATTGCAGATATAGATCTATTTCAAGCGAACGAACGAAAGGAGCAGAAGAAGAAGAGGAAAAAGAGGAAGAAGAAGAAGAAGAAGAAGAAGAAGAAGAAGAAGAAGAAGAAGAAGAAGAAGAAGAAGAAGAAGAAGAAGAAGAAGAAGAAGAAGAAGAAGAAGAAGAAGAAGAAGAAAAGAAGAAAAAAAAAGAAAGAAGATTTATCTCATCAATGAGCAGCTCCTTAACAGAAGGTGGCTCTCGTCACAACGTGCCTAAAAGTCTCTCTTTCTCCAGCCCTATGTGTTTCGATATTTAATGGAATTTCAGTTTTTTTTGTATCCGACATTGGCTAAGATCTGCCTCTGCCTGGTTTTGCGTAAACTGTCCCCTCCATCACGGCTCTCTCCAGGCCAGCATGACCTTTAACATAACCGAAATACTTTGGCACAGTATGCTGTTTATGAGCCAATTCTCCTCCATGATCAGATCATGTAGACATATCTGTTTAGTTGCGTATCCTTTGAAGGACGTTGCAGAACCAACCCCAAACAGCCAAGGGCCGTTGTGTAGTTTTTCTAGACAAATTAACATCCAGTAGTTTGCCATTGCTTTCTGGACGTAGACATATCTAGTATACTAGACAAAAAGTAAAGGTCTATTTGTTTCTAAAGCTTGTAGCGCACCGGGTATATGGTATTAGACCCATATTTGTACGTACCAATCGGCACTCGATGAGTTCAAAGGTTAAATGTCAAAGTTAAGAGGATCGACTACGTTGGACGGGGTTTTATCCCCAGTGGCTCAGTCTCTCTCCACAGAACGGCTAGCCGCCTGCCGACACTCAACCTCTCAACCCTCCCCAAGTAAGATCCCTAACACATCACACAAACATACACATACGAAAACACACAAACACACACAAACACACACACACACACACACATATATATATAGAGAGAATCTGGAAATTCTATCAAGTAAGATTACTCTATAGAGAGAGAATTTGGAAACTTGACCAAGTAAGATACCAGTGAGAAAATCTGGAGAGAGAGAAATGGAGAGGGGGGGGGGAGAAATAGAGAGAATCTAGAAACGTTCCCAAGTAAGATCACCATAGGAAGAGAGGGAGAGAAGAGAGAGAGAGAGAGAGAGAGAGAGAGAGAGAGAGAGAGAGAGAGAGAGAGAGAGAGAGAGAGAGAGAATCTGGACACCCCCTACCCCAGTAAGATCAACATACAGAGTGAGAATCTGGAAATTCCCCAATAAAATCGCCGCACAGCGAGATAATCAGGAAGCTCCTCCAGGTAAGATCGGCATACAGAGAGAGAGAATCAGGAAGCTCCTCCAGGTAAGAACGGCATACAGAGAGAGAATCAGGAATCTGCTCCCAAGTAAGATCACCATAAACACACACACACACACACACACACACACAGAAAGAAAGAGAGAGAGAGAGAGAGAGAGAGAACGAAGGTACGAACTTTATTTTCAAAGGGTTACAAATTAGGCACGCAGGCCTGTCTTACATTCGGCCCTTCCAAACTTCCATCTTTCACACAGCAGTTGTATTTCATCAATGAAGCATGTTTTATTCATGTAATGATATGCATATTATGGATATGAAGTCAAAAACAAAAGCATGGGTGGTAAAATATGTGCGCACGCTCACGCGCGAACACACACACCCACATAGGAGAGAGAGAGAGAGAGAGAGAGAGAGAGAGAGAGAGAGAGAGAGAGAGAGAGAGAGAGAGAGAATCAGGAATCTCTGTACGATCACAAAAGGGAAACCACATACCCGAAGCCCATGATGTCGACGCAACTGGGTCTCAGAACTGCCTGCTTCGGGTGATAGGTGATGAAGCCGAAACACATCTCATCCGTGGTTCCATCCCCCCACAGTGTGTCGTCATCTCGGCTCAAGGTGCTGAACCCACATGTGGTGACCACTGAGTCGCCTGGAAACATCTCGATGGGCAGTGGACTGTGGAATTTATAAAAACATCATCATCATCAAGTGTAGTATTTTTTCTTCATTTTTTAAAGATACTGTTATGTTTTATACAACGGATCTACATCATGCCACAGGGTAGTAACCCATAAGAGCTCCCTTCTACTTCTAACTCAAGCCTGAGTCCGAAAAATCACAGCTCAGTGCACGATCTTCATAGCACCGGCGAGGATCTTGAAGATACTATTAGACAACCTCAAGTGAGGACACACATTTTTTTCCCCTAAATAATTCTTGGCAAAAGAGGTAAAGGACGGTGAATATGAGGCTGACAGAAAAAAATAATATAGCAAAATCAATTTAATCAAAAATTAGACCATATAAAGAATCAGCGAATCGTGATTTAAATAAGACACATTAGGATTAATAATAACATTAAGAATAATAATAATAGTATTCAGCTGTAAAAACAAAAGTTATAATTATAGCATATCAATTATAAAAACAAGTTAGTTGGTATCATTTACAGGACGTTGTAGAACCAATCCCAGCAATTTTTTGTCTGTTGTGATTTTCCTAGGCACACTTTACGTTCAGTAGTTTGCCATTGCCTCTAAACGGTCAGCTTTCGGTACCACTGTCGAAATAAACGCACGACAAATCGCCCGCAGCTGGGATTAACGGGCACCCCGGCATTACGAAGCGCGTTCTCAACGCCTAAGCCACAGACGCCTATTACTACTACTAATACTACTACTAATTATAATAATAATACCATAATAATAATAAGTCTCCGGGATCGCATTATGCAGACTGCCTCCCTAAAACACGTGTCCTAAGAGTCGACTAATTAGAGGTTTCTTTCGAAATCGGAGTGCATGCCTCAAAGGCAAAGAACCAAGAATCTGTATACAAATAAACTAGCTCTGTAGAACGGATGTGCACGCAGCATTCACGTTAAGGAATAAGACTAAAGTTCAGAAGTGGATGAACATCCAGAACCTTCCACCGTAGTTTCCAGCCAGCGAATGTGATGAAGAATAAGTAGAATAAAGATGAGAGGAGGAGGATAAGGTATGAGACGAAGAAGAAGACGGAGAAAAGAAGAAGAAGAAGAAGAAGAAGAAGAAGAAGAAGAAGAAGAAGAAGAAGAAGAAGAAGAAGAAGAAGAAGAAGAAGAAGAAGAAGAAGAAGAAGACAATGAAGGAAAGATAAAATTGAAGAAAGAAAGAAAGAAAGAAAGAAAGAAAGAAAGAAAGAAAGAAAGAAAGAAAGAAAGAAAGAAAGAAAGAAAGAAAGAAAGAAAGAAAGAAAGAAGGAAATAAATAAATAAATAAATAAATAAAGAAAAAAAGAAAGAAAGAAAGAAAGAAAGAAAGAAAGAAAGAAAGAAAGAAAGAAAGAAAGAAAGAAAGAAAGAAAGAAAGAAAGAAAGAAAGAAAGAAAGAAAGAAAGAAAGAAAGAAAGAAAGAAAAAGAAAGAAAGAATGATTTGTCCAAAAGGTTACTGGTGTATCTAGTTTTTAATAACCCCCTCCCCCTCTCCCCCCAACCAACCCCATGTAATTTTAAGCTGCTGCGCTCTTCCATAACCACGTGGAAAACAAGGGAAGACTACCACATCATGTATATTCACAGCAAATCTAACCGGAAGATAATCATAGCAGCACCCGGTCCCAAAACTGGAGACATTTTGGCTAAGTCGATGCAAGCGCTTCGTAATGACCGGTTGCCGGGTTCGATCCCAGCTGCGGGCCATGCGCCTCGCGTTGGTTTCGACAGTGGTATCAAGAAAGCCGACCGTGCAGGAAGCAATGGCAAACTACTGGACACGTCCTGTAAAGGATACGCAACTAACCCTGTCCCGAAACTGGAGGCATTTTGGCCATGTTAAAAGTGATGGCGACCCGGAGAGAAAGGTGATAGTTTCCCGAAAACAAGGCAGATGCCGACCTCAGCGAATGTGGATACAGGACACTGAAGATGCATTAACTATTAGGGCGCATAGGGCTGGAGAATTTACTAGAGACAGAGACACTTTCATGCATGTCGTAACGACAGTGACGTTCAATAGAGAACCTGCAGATCTGTGATGTTGATTATTTCTAAGTTTACACTTGTTTAAACTACTGGACGTAAATTTGCCTAGAAAACCCACACAACAGCCAGGGGGCTGCTTGAGTTGGTTCTGCAACGTCCTGTGAAGGATAAGTCAATTATATAAATAAACTATAGCTTGCGATTTTTATGTTGTCTAGTGTGTTCTTCTATCTATCTACTTCTTTCTATGAATGCCGATCAATACACTTTCTGTTACTTGATTAATTCATAATATTTAACGGCCTCAAAGGTTCCCCCTCTGTTTATTTAAAGGAATGAAGTATACACACCAGAACGCACCAATCAAATACCTTTCTTAAATGTTTGTGTATTCTTGACAAAGCATTAAAGTCTATTGTGTTCGTAAATTGTTGTTGTGATTGTTATTCAACATATGCTTCGTTAATATATATTTCTGGAACCTATGGTGCCATTTAAATGGTTTGACATGAATTCTGTCCATATTCCATAGTTGTGGATTTCAAGTTGTACGATAGACATGGCCAATAAGACACCTTTTTTGGGGGGTGCCTAGTTGACCATGTTCTTAGTGCACTTGTATTCATGGCGAGGCGCAGACGCCGTCTGGAGGGGACAGGTTAAATTCCCGGCACGGTAACTTTAGCTTTCGATTGTTATGTTGTCTAGTGTGCTCTTTTATCTATCTTCTTCTTTCTATGAGTGCCGATCAATACACTTTCTGTTACTTGATTAATTTGTAAAGGATACGCAACCAACCCCACACTCGTTTACACATTTTTCAACGCTAGTGTAACACAGCTCTGTCCTTTGCGATATCACACCCAGGTTCGTCTTTAGTTTTGTCACGGGAGGAGTCGATTGAAAGGGTAGACGAGGAGAAAGATGGTCATGTGTATAGTGGTGATGATGATGATGTGTCTTGCTAGCTGCATGCTTCTCACGTGACTCACGTGATGCTTGTATAATATAATTTCTGGGAACAACTTTTCTTCTCTGTACTGTCTTGATTGTGATACCTCAGCAATGTCACAAACAATATCAATGGTATTCTGAATGGAACTGTGTTCTCCCTATGGTTACAAACTCTTGAGGTCGCGTTGTGTTCTTCGTCTCTAGTTACTTTGGTTCTAGTGTCTGTAACTGCCACCTGGCTTCTAGTGCTGTCTGTCACTTACGGCTTGATTGTCGACTCTAACATCTCAATAGTGTTCCAACCTAATGTGTCTCTATTAACCAAAGATCCATGTATCTTGTGTGTTGTCTCTGTAGCTCGATGTCTTGTTTCATGTGTGCTCTCTAGTGACTGTCTTTGAGACTCAATGTGACTGGTTCCTCTCTTCTAGTGTTAAGCTGACATCTCTACAACTGCGAGGGTCCATGAGACTAGTCACTCGTCTTCCAAGTCTGGCAAACTGAAGGATTTCTTTTAGGGTCCATATGACTGGTCCCTCCTCTTTCAAGTCTGGCAAACTAAAGGATTTCTTTGAGGGTCCATATGACTGGTCCCTCCTCTTCTAAGTCTGTCAAGCTGAAGGATTCCTAAATGGTTTCTCACTCATTATTTATATTGAGATGCTGGAATGCGCGGTATTTTTTTTTTTTCTATAAATTTATAGTGCGTCTCAACTTGTTTACTATGTGCATTCTCACGTGGGATTTTCTAATTACATCTCAATTGCATCAGATTTCATCATCTTATTCTGCACCTAAACATACTAATTAAATTGACAGCTGTCCTCATAGAGCTTCCAGAAAGCCAGTACTACTTCGTTTTCTTTGAAAGGGCACGTCAACAATGACATCATATACTATTTATAGATTATACTTTTGCAAACTATTTCTCTGTTAATAACAAAGGATTGTTCTAGAAAGAAAATGTCAATGTTACTAAAACATGTTGCTTCCGGTACATCTTAGCTTTGCGCAGTCTCCTATCTACTAACAATGACGTCTTCCTTGTTTTAAAATACAAGTTTGTAAATCTTGTGTTATGTACACTTTTCTTTACTTAAGCAAAACCAGACAGCCTTCCATATGAGCTGTTTGAGTCGTATTCTTGGTGCATCATGGTGAAACTTTGTATCCAACGAATGTGTACTCAGAAAAGCATATAAGAGATTTCCGTCCTAATATGAGATGCAGTTGTTCAATAATTTAAACTCCCCACCCCAGCTGCAATCAGGGGCCCTAACGGTTGAACGGGTTTTCTGGGACTTGCGCCCAGGTAATGCACATCCGAATGGTTGGCAGACAGTGAAATCTGCACTTTACCAGACGTCAAAGACAGCAAGGTAACGATGGAAGGCTTCAAAAGTCTCAGGATAACTGATTATCGGCGTGTCCATGTAGTCCAGTAGTATTCTTTTTCTTCTTTGCGTTCACCAGATGTCAACTCTGGTTGTTCGCCCACTTCTACATTGCAGTCCTGTTCCAGCGTTTGACAGATCTGGAACATTTGTGTGCAGACTGATGGTTCATTGCCTCACAGGCAGATGCACTCGACTTCGTACGAAGCTCCCAATTAGTCGACTCTTAAGGCAAACTTTTGGGTAGACAGTGGGTCTGTTCTTGTTTTCCATAAAGTGGGGCCCCGGAACCCACACGGGGGTCCAATGGTATGACAAGCTGGATGTTCGTGTGAAGAAAAATCTTCCACAGTCAGAGCTTGAGATTTTGAAAGAACACGGGACATACACATCAACACTTGGTTAGGTTCACGTTAGTCTCCCCAAACAGAGTAGGTCACTTTCCATTCACAAGTTTGTTGGGCTGGTCGACTTTCCTGATGGTTACGGTTGTGTCCCGCTCTATTGATTGGTTTCTGCGATGTCTTGCTTTCCGAGAACAAGAATGACTGTGACGTAGTTGCAGAACTCTCTATGGGAGTGTGTTAGGACCAGTTTCACCATGTTTTTGGAGTGTTAAAAGCGCTGGCGTGCTGAAATATACACCATGCGATATCAACGGTATCGCGGAATACTCCCGTAACCCTGTGCCAAGGTGACAGGTTTAGGAACTACCAATCAGAAGTGAGCTAGTGTGTATATAAGCGGCGCGTGAGGAGACTAACGTTACTTGTTCCCACCACATCATATAATCGGGGAGCGGAGTGGGCTGGGGAGGAGGCTGAGGGTAGGAGTCTAGAAAAGAGAGTCACTTACTAATGATGCACCTGAGGAGTGTCGTAGAGAAAGAACCGGTCGTATGTGATGTACGCCAGGTGGTAGTTCTTTCTCTTCAGCTCCACGATCATGTCCTTCCCTGCAAAGGGGAAAAAAGTGTTTGAAATTACCATCGTCTGCCTGATGGCTTGCCAGTTTGTCTGTAGGCCCGCCTACACACCTGTCAATCTGTCAGTCTGCCCGTCTGTGTGACCAGCTACCCCTCTCTCTTTTAAGTATTCGTTTGCCTGCTTTTTAGTAGCACGGTGGTCTGTTTGTCTATCTGCTGTCTAACTGTCTGTCTGCTGCCTGTTTGTCTGGCTGCCTGTTTTTCTATCTGCTGTCTACCTGTCTATCTGCTGTCTGTTTGTCTATCTGCTGTCTGTTTGTCTATCTGCTGTCTACCTGTCTATGTGCTGCCTTTTGTTTATCTGCTGTCTACCTGTCTCTCTGCTGCCTGGTTGTCTATCTGCTGTCTACATGTCTATTTGCTGCCTGTTTGTATATCTTCTGTCTACATGTCTATCTGCTGCCTGTTTTTCGATCTGCTGTCTACCTGTCTATCTGCTGCCTGTTTGTCTATCTTCTGCCTGTTTGTCTATCCGCGGTCTACCTGTCTATCTGCTGCCTGTTTTTCTATCTGCTGTCTACCTGTCTATCTGCTGCATGTTTGTCTATCTGCTGTCTACCTGTCTATCTGCTACATGTTTGTCTGATGTACACCTGTCTGCTGCTTGTTTGTTTGTTTGCGGTCTACCTGTCTATCCGCTGCCTGTTTGTCTATCTGTTGTCTACCTGTCTATCTGCTGCCTGTTTGTCTATCTGCTTCCTGTTTGTCTATCTGCTGTCCTCCTCTATATCTATCTGCTGTCTACCTCTATACCTGTTTTCCATCTGCCGCTTGTCTGTCTATCTGCTGCATGTTTGTCTATTTGCTGTTTACCTGTCTATCTACTGCCTTTCTGTCTATCTACTGCCTGCCTATCTCCTATGTGTCTGTCTATCGGCTGTCTACCTGTGTATCTATTTGATTTCTACCTGTCTATCTACTGCCTTTCTGTCTATCTACTGCCTGCCCATCTCCTATGTGTCTGTCTATCGGCTGTTTACCTGTGTATCCATTTGATTTCTACCTGTGTATCTGGTGTCTACCTGTCTATCTACTGACTGTCTCTTTCTACTGCCTGTCTGTCTAAACTACCTGTTGCATTTATAAATGTAATATAATATGCCTTCCTGCCATTTAGCATATTAGGTTTTTAAAGAAGCAATTATGATTAACAAGATAATATACAGCAATTCATCTGGTAGCCCGCGAGTCAAGTGTGGTCCGCGGAGGCATAACAAGTGGCCAGCGGATTACCCTATAGTTGAATTGTATTAATACTTTCTCTATGCTGGGGTTCAGGATTCTGGCCCTTGACGATCCCCATTTATCAACATTCTGGCCCTTGACGATCCCCATTTATCAACATTCTGGCCCTTCATGATCCCCATTTATCAACATTCTGGCCCCTTATGATCCCCATTTATCAACATTCTGGCCCTTCATGATCCCCATTTATCAACATTCTGGCCCTTCATGATCCCCATTTATCAACATTCTGGCCCTTGACGATCCCTATTTATCAACATTCTGGCCCTTCATAATCCCTATTTATCAACATTCTGGCCCTTCATGATCCCTATTTATCAACATTCTGGCCCTTCATGATCCCCATTTATCAACATTATGGCCCTTCATGATCCCCATTTATCAACATTCTGGCCCTTGACGATCCCCATTTATCAACATTCTGGCCCTTCATGATCCCCATTTATCAACATTCTGGCCCTTCATGATCCCCATTTATCAACATTCTGGACCTTCATGATCCCCATTTATCAACATTCTGGCCCTTCATGATCCCTATTTATCAACATTCTGGCCCTTGACGATCCCTATTTATCAACATTCTGGCCCTTCATGATCCCTATTTATCAACATTCTGGCCCTTCATGATCCCTATTTATCAACATTCCGGCCCTTCATGATCCCTATTTATCAACATTCTGGCCCTTCGTGATCCCTATTTATCAACATTCTGGCCCTTCATGATCCCTATTTATCAACATTCTGACCCTTGACGATCCCCATTTATCAACATTCTGGCCCTTCATGATCCCTATTTATCAACATTCTGGCCCTTGACGATCCCCATTTATCAACATTCTGGCCCTTCATGATACCTATTTATCAACATTCTGGCCCTTGACGATCCCCCTTTTTCAACATTCTGGCCCTTCATGATCCCTATTTATCAACATTCTGGCCCTTGACGATCCCCATTTATCAACACTCTGGCCCTCGACGATCCCCATTTATCAACATTCTGGCCCTCCATGATCCCTATTTATCAACATTCTGGCCCTTGACGATCCCCATTTATCAACATTCTGGCCCTTCATGATCCCCATTTATCAACATTCTGGCCCTTGACGATCCCCATTTATCAACATTCTGGCCTTTCATGATCCCTATTATCGAACATTCTGGCCCTTGACGATCCCCATTTATCAACATTCTGGCCCCTGAGTCAGTTTACTTGAAGGACTTTAATATTCAGAAATAAATTATAATACGGACTGGTAAAACAATATCAGCTTTCAAAAACCTCGATAACTTATTATACTGTAAAATCATACATTGTAAAACCAAGTTAAGAATGATAAGCTATTCTCAAGTTACTTCAATTATCGCATTTGCTAGTTAACATTAGAGAGCTCTAAACACAGAATATGGAAGATAAAAGTACAACTCAAACACTTAAGAAAACTAACGAATAATAAATGAGGAGTTCATGAAAGGTGAAGAAATAAGAGAAATGTCTCACAGTCACGAGTATCATAATTCATAACAGAGAGAAGATGGCGTTATGCAGTGTGACCCCAATAGTCGTCTATACCAATATTGTTTATAATATAATCCAGCCCATTACCCAACCCATGACCTAGCCCATGACCCAGCCCATGACCCAGCCCATGACCCAGCCCATGACCTAGCCCATGACCCAGCCCATGACCCAGCCATTGACCCAGCCTAACCCTTCCACCTACCCAGCAGGTGCATGTGGTTGCCTGCCGCTGTGATGTTGATGCTGCCAGTGAGCAAATTCTTGGTGCAGCCACTGGCGCAGGTGCTCTTGATGACGGTGTAGTTGAGATGGGGCGGCAATTCGAAGTAGGTAGAGCCGACGGCGAATACACCTGTGTCATAGCGTTTCCTGTAGAAGATTTCCATAGAAAGATCAACGACAAGTGTCTGTAATCGTGCACATACAACACTGACTATCGGGAATTTTTTATAAGCTTTTATTAGGTTCGCTTTTGTTTACATCATTTTCAGTCTGCATAATACAGAAAAAAGACAAAGCTTCCACCAGTTATCAAAATTGTTCTGAGCTTAAAAAAAAATCATATTCTTTCTAAAAACCCTTTAGCGTGAGAAATGATTCAGGCAAACAACATAGACCTGCTACAGCGTAACTATGCAGTCACAGCGACAATCCTATGCATAGACATAAAGGCTGAAGAATGTGACCTCGTACTGCATGCAAAGACCTTTAAACATGTCCCCAACTCT